GCTCGAGTTCCTGGATTGTCAAAGCAGTTGGCTTCAGCCCTTGAGCAGAGCCTTCAAGTCCTCAGTGAAGCAGACACCAAAGAGAGACATGAGCACACTCCTGAGAAGGTTTGATTTTCCATCCGGTATAGGAAAATCCTACAAACATCTACACAAGCCAAAACATAATCCTCACTCTGACTGGCCCTACTGGCAGTGTGCAAAGCAGCTCTGTTGGTAACCTGCTATGAACCTGTGAATGTCTAATTCAGGCTGTCTGGAGAGCTAAACCAAGGCTTTGTCTAAATTGTTTTGTGTGACACACATAAAGATGAGCAGAACCTATTAAGTTCATGCTAATGTGAAGCTGGAAAACCTCATTTTAGGGAAACTGTGATGATCAAAAATAAAATATTTAAAGGGAGAAATTAAATTCTCAGGATGCTTTCAGATCATTTCCAGGGAGGAAAAAAGGAACATTACAGGAGAAAAATTAACACAACAGGTAATTTGTGTTTGCAAAAGAGAAAGAGAAACACATTCTCACACACATCCCAAAGGGCTAAACAAGCTGAGCTGCTGCCAGTAATTCCCAACATGGAATGTTTGCCAAGTCCCCAGGAGTAGCCTTTTAAAAGACCCCATTCAACTCTATTTTCATCCAGACTGCACAGAAACTTTGCAGTTTCTTGGCTTTAGATTTTTCTCCTGAAGTCCCTTATCATTAGAGATGACACAGAATCAGTCACTCTGTAAAAAGTCTCTGTTTTGAGGGGGATTACTATTTGCTGTCTTTGCACATTTTACATAGCCATCAAAACATTCATCTCTAAACAATCAGCCATTTCTTTGGGGTCCTTTTTGCCTAAAGAAATAGGCAATGACAGCTATCAAAACACTCAGCACCTACTTATTTTTGCATCTAAAGGCATGCAATAAAAAGGATTTGGCAACTGCCATCCCTTGTTGATATCTGAACACTGTAAGAAAGCAACTGTTATCAGTGAAGAGTAGCATGGGATAGGTAACCATGAAGAGAGTGCAACGGCCTTGATAACATTACTTCTTATATTTGGTGAATCTCTTCTGGATTCTGAACCTGTTCTGACTTTGATAATTAGTATTTTCTCAGCTTTACAACCTATCAACTATATTCACAAAATTACAAGAGAATGAAAGGAGTGCAGGTGAGATAGTTTGGTCACATTGACAAGATAATGATATTTACCTTAAATATGAACAACAGATGGAAGACAAGTCTTTCTGCTGCCTCTTGCAAGTTGTTTACTCTCCTCTCTGCTTGCAAAGACCCAGCTGTGAGATGTTGTGTGACAAAGACCCTAAATAAGAGATACAAAATGCACTCATTCAGGAAGCTCAAAATGCTGCCCTGATTCATCTTTTCAGTACACACACATTATTTACATCTCAAGTGTCTTAATTTTTTGAAGCTTTTATTTGCAGCATAGGAAAGTGAAAAGCAGCAGACCTGTAAGTAGGAAGAGCTAGCTTTGGAACTAGAAAATACCACATCGAGAAGCCTATATATTGATCCCCTTAGCAGTGTCACAGTGCCAAAGTAAGGCATGATGATAGCAGCATCACATGGCTAAAATAGACATGAATGTCCTCATCTGAACACTTCTTGTCATTCAGTGCAGGTCATTAGTGGGCGTCCTGGCTTTGCAATAAGCCTGAAACCTCATTTAATTCTAACAGAGAGAGCAGATCACTTGTAGCCAGAACATTTCCTTTCAAAACAGCAAATTAGTGTGACAGGAAAAAGCTTGAACTGATTGCAAAAGTCCAAAATATCATTAGTAAGTTTCACAAAACTTCACATACCATAAGGTTATCTCTTCCCTTTTCTAATTGCACAGTGTGTCTGTACAGATCTCCTGAAAATAACTTTGTGTTTGGGATGTCAACCATAATCCTGCCTCATTCCTGGTTGGATGGAGATCAAATCCTTAAGAAAGAGTTTGCAAGGCCAAAGGAACCAAGTATACGGTAATTTTCCAAGCACGACATAATCCATGACTAGCAGAATTTGAAATATTTGTTACACTAAATTGAAACAAATGAAAATCAACCAGTGGATCCCATTTACCACTGAGACAAACATAAACTGCCATGGGAGGTGATAAACCTTTCACTGATTTTTGTGTTATCTATTTTTGTTGTCTATACTGGCTCTTTGGATTGCCCCACTTGAAATTCCTTAGCCTGGCAACATCCCTGATCAGTTTTCAGTTTCCCTTCACACTCTGAGTAGAAGGGGCAAATAATTGCCACCATACAAGCTTCTTACCCACTCCCCAAATCCTATGCTGAGCTGAATTTTTTGCACCTGAAATGCTGAAAAAAACAAACAGCAATTTTGCTATGATTTCAACAGATACAGCACATCAATTTTGCAAACATGCCACAACACAATTAGCTGTGAAGCACGGAGGGGACTGTAGATCTCAGTAAAATAAAGCCAGTCTACCAGCAATATGCGAGCACTTAATTTTTCAACATCTTGTAGCATGAATTTTCTTTAAAGTTATGTTTTATGAGTAGTGTTTTAATTGTAGTTCTACTGCCTCAGGACATAAGTAAAGGACCATGATACCCATACATAGAATCTTACTTCACACAACAGGAAACGGCTGCTGTAGCCAGACCTTTTTCAGGACCCTAGCCCAGCATCCAGTCCTCATCTCACACCAACTTCTCATATTCTTGCCCAATTGCATGTTCTTTCCACAGACCTAGTGATGCCTGAGAATGGAGAGGAAAAAACAGCTGTATGAAGAGTTTTTCTGAGCCAGTTTGCTGAAGCATATAAAGGTATAACTGTCTCTGAGGGGAATAGACTTTTTACCTTGAAGAACCTCTGTGGAGAAACTGAAATAAACCTTTTACCAAAGGATGCTTAAGCTCTGAATGGTTTAGTTGTCTGAAAGTGAACAGAATGAGCTGGGCAGACAGGAGCCAAAACCTCAGGTGCTTGTGTAGTACAGCATCTGTGTCTTTTGCAAGATGTTTCTTATCAAAGAGAGTACTTCAAGACTTCTTTGAAGTGAACTAAGCATTTCAAGAGAGACTACGATTTCATCTGTATAGAGAATTTCTACTATACTGGTGTAAATTAAAAAAATGCAATCTCATCCTAGTCTGGCTCAGCTTTATAAAGCTATGGGGCTATTTATATTTGTATAGCACATTCTGTTATGGAAAGAGGAATAACTTGTCCCAGGAAATATTACTTCTATACATACATAACTGTGTTCACTCTCTGGGCTGTATTATATTACTATAACTATGCTAGTAAAAGAAAAATTACAACTGTAAATTACATTGTAATGCTGGTTTCAAGACCATACATGCACGAGGTACTACTTCAATGAGGCTCTAGACCTCCTATGTGGTTCCATTTCCTGATTCCTCACAGTAGCAGTGGGAATTTACATCATCTCAGCAACATCTTTTGACTTTTCTCTTTGTCTCCTGTCCATATACTGTGTACAAGAAGTTCAACTTGTTTCCTTGTTTTCTATAGATTAGTCATAAGTGTGAAATCTATTTCTCAGGTACTTTACACAAATCCTAGACAAATGAGCCCCTATATACCCCTGTGCAAAGACAGCCTGGTAATTCAGGTTTTAGGAGCTAAGTCCAGCTGAGCTACTTGCAGAATGGTAAAGCAGTCAGAGAGACTACTGAACCAGAGGGATGAAGCTTTCAAAACAGAGTTTCAGTCTGTTTTTAAAAGGACATGACATAACATACTCAAAAAAAGCACAGGTTTTCACTCAGGCACCTGGCCAAGGACTCTCAGAATACCAAATCTGTATCTTCTTTATACCCCCATTTCTAGTGATTTGTGTGCTTGCCTCAGTAGAGTACAAATCTTTTTCTGTCAGACTCATTTCAGAGAAAGAAAAGAAAAGAAAAGAAAGCTTGTGTTAGAAAACTCAAGTTCCTAGGTGCAGGAATAAGCACATTCTGTTACTGAGTCATGAAACACACAGGCTAAAGTGCTTGCTGACCCCAGCTATTGGTCCTGCCTCTCTCAAAGCCTGTGAGACAGCTTAGCTCCACATAAAAGAGCTCCAGGGGTTTACAGCTCCTTTATCAAGGTAACCCCAAACTAGCACCAGTTTAATATGTCAGGCTACAAACTGCAGTGGTTAAGGATCAGCTTCATGTGCAATTCCAGAACTTCTGAGAAGGCACCAAGTGAAAAACTAACTGGAGGCAGTTATTGATTCAGCTGTCTGCCCTTAATTAACTTATATTGATGCCCCAACATCACTGGGATAAAATATGGATCAACCCTGAACCCAGGGTTAGTTCTAAATGACAGATTAAATCTTGAACTAGACCCTTGCAAAGCTCCCTGTTTTCCTCTCTAACAGCTCACATTTCAGTTTCTGGTGTGCTGGTTGGAATGACATTTAACTTCACTGAAACGTGAAGCTGTGTGAGGGATTTTTTAGACAGTTCTGAACGAGTGGGGCCCTGTAAGAGCCATCTCTGGTGTGCGATGTTCCATAATAGCACTGAGGACATAGCAGTGCTGATCCAAAGGTTTCCCCACACCGTGTAACATACTTCAATATTTTGAAGCAGGACCACTGAAACTAAGTTTTATCATATCAGGATGCATTTATGAAAATTTTATTAATGATTAAAAGATGCTTCCTAGTAACACATTATTAGAATACAGCTAGCTGTTTGAAGGCATCTAAAACAGATGTTGGAGGTGTGGTTTACATTATAAGTACGAAGTGCTTTTAGACTGTACATGGGGATTGGAACAAGCCAGTATGCACTCATGTAGTATAACAGCATGCTTTTAAATCTCAGCTTTCACTTAATAAAGTAATAAGTTTCTTGCACTTACAGTTATGAAAAAAATAAACTGGCAATATGAGCAGAATGTAACCAAGGCAGAGGTGGCAAAGAGATGTCTGGAACAACAGCCCTGCAGGGCAGTAACTGCACCTGCCAGCATCCCATCACCCAGTAATGGCTTTAGTTCAACAGTTTAAGAAAGAGCGTGATGGATAGACAGATTACTGTGACAATTTAATTTCTTCAGCAAAGTCAGTGAGAAGTTCTATTACTTACAGCAATCCCAGTTAAAAAGCAGCCCCCCAAAACTCAAAGCCCAACAGCAAATAAAAGAGATCCAAATGCAGAGAGCCCTCCAAAGTCCACAGAGACACTGTCCTGCTTCAAGCATCTTGTGCTTTACTCTTCCTCTGACCATACAGTCAGGACGTGGAAACCTTTGGAAGAGTACCACTGTCTTTTTTTCCCCCAGCTTAGAACACATACTGTTCTTAATCAGAAATGCAGTCATATCTACTAGACACTTATTAACTCTTCATGAAATAACAAGTGCACTCCTCACATAATGTGATCTTAATGTATATATACTCTGTATGTGTGTAGCTGCAGTGTTTGTATTTACTCAGGGCTCAGTGTTCTTTTTTCGTTTTGGTGGAAATAAGATCATGATCATTGTCATGACTTAACCAGCCTGGGACCATGTTACATTTGTAGAGGTTGTCTACCCTTCCTTGAGGCTGGCATTGCACAAGGTGCAGGCTGTTTTCCATGCATTTTAGCTTCAAAGTTAAAACAGGAGATAGGGTGCTTATTAGTGGCAATCAGTGCACTGTTCAGTGCTGGTACAGCCTCTGTAGAAGCAACCTGTCCCAGCTGAACTCAAAATGGAATTAGGAATTTCAGATGAGATGTGAGAACAAGGGAGTGCCTTATGCTACAGCCAGCTTAAGTATTAAACACATTTCGTAAGCAAGGAGTACAGCCAACCCTATCACCACACTTTTATAAAGCTGACCTCAGTCAGTCCCTACTGAGATGGGTCTATGTGATTTTCTCTCGTAGCTGCTGAAGAGAATCTCTTGAAGCTTCTTGTTAAGCTCTTTTAAAGAGACATGGCACAAACTGGACTTAGGATTCTTCTACTCATAAGCATACTGCTGCTGGATCAGACCATCAGCCAAGCTTCCAAATTCAAAGCCAGGAAGCACAGCAAACGTAGAGTGAAAGGTACTGGGTTTTAACTGGGAGGAGGGATAGAAGCTTACAGACTGTGCAACTTTACTATATACTTCAATACCATTGCATGAACTATAAACTAATGTTATACAAATGCTTACCAGCAAAGGACATTTGAGTCTATCTTATATCAGTCTTAAAATATTTTTATATGAGTTAGCAAAGCCAAAAATAGGGTTCAAGAAAGAGTTATGGAAATTGAGCTGTATAACAGTTGTAAGTATCATGCTCTGTTATGCCTATTCATCTCTGCCAACATTATTTAGGACTCACAGGTACAGCTCAGAGAGGACTCTGGATGATCATTTTTAGTTACATAGTTATAGAGACTAAGATCAGAAGAATGGAAATTCATATACATATGGTAGAAAAGAACAGAATAAAATATTCAGTCTCCAGTTATTGTTCAGATTTTTGTACCCTTGCCTAATTTTAACAGAATGTGTCTCTAATATTTGTGGAATATAACTTTACCTGAGTGAAAAGTACTGTGAAATGGCAAGTCAAACTAATGAAAAAGAATTAGCAGAAAACAATAAAGCATAAATTCCCAAAGCAAAGCTTACAGAGCAAATACAATACCGCTGAATGTTGTTTGAAACTGTGTATTTAATTTAAAGACTTATTTCTAATAAAAGTGGGTATGATGGAAGTTACACCAATGGCAAATATTTAAGCTCCTACTCAATGAAAAAACCCACAGCTTTGATAAAGCCATTGTACAATGTACAACATGATTACAGAGCTCTGGATTTGTACAGTTACATACACCTCTCCTGTTGAATCTCTATGCTTTTAAGTTTGGTGTCCTAAGGACAGGCTGTTTATACATTTGTTTTGCCAGCACATTTAACCTTCCACTAAGAAGTTTTGATCTGGAAGCAATTTGACAAAAGAATGGAGGTCCTGAGGATAAGTTTCCCAGTAACTGGGGGGGGGGGGGGTGTTGAGAAGAGGTCTGCATTAGTGTCCCACTGTGAAACCTTTGCACCAGGAGCTCACCTTGTTCTGGTTTTGCCTCTTTTCAAACAGAAGAACATGGAAGGGCTCTGGAACTGGGAGTTGTAGGGAGTATCATGGGCTGAGGAACTGGGAGTCCTGCCTTGGGGAACCAAGGAATCATGAAGGACAGCTGGGGTTATCACCAAAGGCAGTAGGGAGTATGGATATGAGCTTTCTGGGGTGCAGCTGGACGGGTTAGATGATGTAACACAGATCTGTAGGAGCTGTGGTTTTGTTAGTTCTGCTATGTGTGAAAGAGCTTATTTATTCATGTTCATTACTGTGGCTTCTGAAAGGTCTGGTTACTGCTGCAATCAAATTGTCATCTTGTGCAATGGGAACATGCCTGCTAGTTGTTTGATGGTGCTAGAAAATTATAATGATTAAGAAAAAAGAATGGAAAAGATGACATGAAAATAGAGTTATGTGCAAATTAGCTTCTTTTCTTGTCTCCCCATCTTCCTGATGCTTTTGTAAGTGCTACAAAATGGTGATTCAGACTACATTTGTGTGACTTAAGTCACCAAGCCCTCTCTGTACTCATGGAGAGAGAAAGGCTCCTCCTGGGAAGGAGAAATTGCAGCTCAGCAAGCTTGTCTGCATACATTCGGACTGTGAAATTTGGTTATATTAGCTGTTCACTGTGTTGAAACAAGAGTTGTGTGAAACTTTCATCCTTTCAGAATAACATTTCTTTGAATAAAGACAACTTGTGTCCTGCTATGATTTGTGTCATATATATACACCATGGGGTACAGGTTCAAATTTAAATAGGCAAATTTTACCGTAAATTACATATTGGCATACTAAATAACAATTAGCTGCAAAAATCCATGGTTTTCAAACAGGTACAAGGGTAAAGTTCAGCTGAAAATGAGATTCAAATTATGAGGGTAAAACATGAATGTGAGGTCCTCCTGTTTTTTGATAGGAACCCTACAGGAATAATTTCATTAACAAGAAACCTTTAACAGAAATCAAAACATATCTCAGCAATGCAAAAATATTGTGATTTTACGAAACAGCTTTTAACACACATTTTTTTTTAATATTCTCTGTGTACATATCTGTTCATTTCTCTATATTTCTTTTGTTTAAGAAAAAGATGACCTAAAAACCCAGATTGACAAATTGTGGCGGGAAGTAAATGCTTTGAAAGAAATGCAAGCTCTTCAGACAGGTAAAGCAACTTACATGGTCAATGGCTTCCATAAGTTACCACTGCCTTTCCTCTCTCCTTCACTCCCATCCTTGTCTTTAATGGGGATTTGTGACTGAGAAATATAACTCCTTAAGAGCATGTTGTGCCATAGATGTTATGGTGAGACAAATGTTGAAGGAAGCAGTCAAGTAAAGTCTGACTAAAGGTGTACAAGTGATAATTCTTCACGAAGAGCAAGAATTAATCTGGAGCAAGAACTATGATAATCTTTGCTATGCACAACCCCAAGCTGTGATTTTTAGGTATATCCAGACAAGGATAACACAATGAGGGTTACCAGGTGTGAGATTTTAGATGGTCAGTGAGCTAAGTCCCCTTGGATACAAGTACAGGCTAACCAGCAAGGCAAAAATATTCATGGAGATGGCTGAGAATACCCCCAAAAGGAAGCTAAAAGGACTGAACCTTTTTAAAGTGTGGAGTTTGCAACATTCGAATCTGAATGTTACCATAAAACTTCACAGTAATACCCACTGTGAGTTCAGAAATATCCTGTATCAATGTGCAGACTCCTTTGAGTATTTAAATAGCCAGATGGAAATTTCCAAACAAAATAAGAAGGGTAAATACACATGCACCTACTGGACAGTTGTGCTTTTTTACAGCTGTTGACACAGAACTTGGCAATTAAGCATGTACAGGAGGACACTACAGAGGAAATGACATAATTCACATGAAACAGAACATATTTTCCTTAAGGATGGTAATATCTGGGTTGTTCTGTTTCACATCTTGGGTTACATAAAGCTTTTTGAACTTTACAAAATATTTGTTCTTTAAATGCCTTATAAGAACATTTCAGAAGTGTCTTAAAAGAGGGAGCCTGTGCTAGACAAGTAACTCTTGTTTAAAAGTAATTCTTGTATTGCTTCCAGAAGGAGCTTGAGAGTAAGCATGCAGTGGCTTAGAAATTAAACCAGAGGCAGTAGATTTTCTATCCTCAAAACTTATTTTGAGCTATATGCTAAATTCAGAACCCACACTGTTCAACTGGATTCCAAATCTGGCAAAAAGAGATCTATCACCCCTCTAGCTCTGACTGTGTTTATTAATGGCTTTATGATACTTGAAAAAGGAGGTGCTTTTTCAGCTTATGGACATTTCCAAGACACACATTACAATCTGATTTCTTCTTTGCTCAAATTTCCTAGGTCTCCTTTCTATGTTCCATGAAATGTTGCCATACACCAATTAGAAACACATACTTTCACCATTTAGAAGCACATACTTTCTCCCTAAAAAGGGCCAGTCTCCATTATTACTGCAGTTGCTGAAGTAGATAAAGTCTTTCTGATCTTTCCCAAGAATATAAATTTGTTAAAGAACTCGACATTTAGCAAATATGTTTGTTACTTTTCTTTGGCCATTAGCAGTTGGAAAGGTTAAAATTTGAAAGATAAGCCCTAGCATAAAATGGTGACCCTGAAAACAGAGCTAAGGAGCTCAATGAATATTACAACTGGAAGTACTAAAAAACTCAGACATAGGATATGACCCAAAGTAGATTTCCATATCCTGTTGATCATATACATAATTACTTTTTTTTTACAAGAACAGATGACAGGAATTAGAAACAGATTATAGAAGACATCAGGACAGAAGATGTTCATTTTTTTTTTCACGACATTTCTAATATAAGAACAAGATGAGTTTAAGCAATAAATGAAATAATCTGGAAGTAGTCACATGCAGGAGTCTAAAAATAATCGTTGCAGGAGTGTATTCAAGGCTTTTGCTAACTTTCTCAGCTCAGAAGGAACACTCCTTCAAGGAAGAGTCTCTTCTCCTGTTTTATTTTGTAAAATCAGTTTTTCAGATTGTGTATTAGGATAGCAGGAAAGCAAAGTTTAAGGACTCGCTCCTGCAAGTCTGCTCACACAGACCCTGGGCTGGAACAACTTTGACAACAGTTCTGCAAGGCAATTCCAGTTACAGGGTGTATGCCAAATTAATGTTCTAGTATATTTGGACTTTACATAAAGACTTCCCTGATATGTTCCAGTAGAACTAAAAGCAAACAGATTTATAAATGCAGATGTTTAGATTATTAAGTTCAGATTGTCACGCAAGCTCAGTAATAAGTGTACATTTTTCAAAAGTGTTTATAAATTTAAGTCACTTTACCTCATTTTGTGTTTGAAGGGACAGACTCTGCTGGAAAGACCAGACTTTAAGAACTAAAGATGTGAATGTGTACTCTTTTACAGGTGGAAATACATGTTTATCAATCACCCAGAGATTTACATTATGAATTTTAAATCAAAATTTATTATTTCTGGTGAGCAAGACACATTTTTGTGTCCTGCCTGTGTTTGCTAGGATCTAAGCTTCGTTAATGCACAAAACTTTATTTTTCTTTGGCACCTATATGTAAATATAAAAAGATCATTAGATCTGTCGCTTTACTATTAAGTCAAGTATAGATTTCATGATGACCAATTTGTACCTGGCAACAACGCAAACATCCATGCCTCATCCATTCCATCAGTTTTAAGACTGAGGGATTAAGGTGAAAATGTGTGAAAGCAGGACTATTTGATAAAAAAAAGACATAAAACACACCTACAACAGGCCTGGGTTATATTTTAGTGTTCTGAAACAGCAATATAGAAAATCCTTGAGAGACTTCTATTGTTGGAGAGAATTCTGGGGCTCAAGATCATGCCTGAGGTTTTCCAGAATAAATATGGGAAAGATTCTCCAAAGCACATTATGGTGTTAAGATGGCAGCTATGTCTGTCCTTCCTCTTAAGTACTTCTTCTCTGGAGCAGCTTTCGGACACCACTTGTAGTCCAAGGTACTTTGCAGATCACCTGTGAGCAGTCTGTTCAGACGTCCCAACAGCATGCTAACATGCTGGCTGCATACAAGGTCTTACATGAACAAAAGGAAGAGCAGGTAAGTCCAATCTTGCTACCACTTCTTGGACCACTCTGCGGTGGCAAGAGCCTTTCACTTGCTGAGCTACTTGTCTGCTTAATTCTCAACACACCTTTATGAAGATTATCGCTTATAAGAAACATTATTCAAAGCTATAGCCCAAGCTTTTACTGAACATGCAAACCAATATCTATTCACAGTCTGTCTTCGTGGGACAAAGGCCCATAAGAAGTGCTACCTTGTGTCAGAAAGCACCAAGTATTTTCATGAAGCCAATGAAGACTGCATAGCCAAGGGAGGGACACTGGCTATCCCACGGAATAATGATGAAACAAACACTCTTCGAGATTATGGCAAGAAAAGTATGCCTAGAGTGTCTGAGTTTTGGTTGGGTATCAATGACTTGATAAATGAAGGGAAATTTGTTGATGTCAATGGCATGGCTCTACAGTACTCCAACTGGGATCGTGCCCAACCAAATGGGGGGAAGCGTGAAAACTGTGTCTTTTTTTCCCAGTCATCACAAGGCAAGTGGGTGGACGAAGTCTGCCGTACTGCCAAAAGATATATTTGTGAATTTCTGATCCCATAATTACATTTACAAATGACCATGACCACAGTTTGGGTTATTAGAATGCAGTTTTGCTTGAGAGCAACCCCTCCCACTTTGACATTGGAGAGTTAAAAATATCCATCCTCTGCATTGTACTCATTCTTTCTTGCAGCAGAAGTTCTCTCTATTAATATATTTTCTATTCAGATGCTAAAAATGTAATTTTTAGCGAGTGCTCTCTTTACGTACAAGAACATATATTGAGTTTTGACCTACATTATATCAAATTTTGGTATATTTTTTTAGCCTGATGTTCTGGTTCCTAGAATTCACCTCCTATTTCTGCACTTTTCATCTACATGGTAGGCTAGCATTTGCTTGAACTCCACACTTCAGTGAATTTATTGAAAGTTTACAAGAGATTGCTGCATGGCAACATGTGCCAGTATGAGATGTAAGGATCCTTTTGGTTCCAGTGTTTAAGAGGGACCTTGGGATTATGTGAGCTCCTGCAAAAATTGCTTTTTTACCCATGGGTTAAAAAAAGCCCAATTAAACAGAAAAATCTGACGCTAATTTTTAAACTACATGTAGTTAAAAGTGATACACTGATAGAAAATGGGAGAAGTGCCTGCTCTAAAACACCAGTTAGTCTAAACATACTTGCTTCTAAATGTCTCAATTATGGTTAAATATTAGATGTCATTTGGAACATTCTCATAGAAGAAACCAGCATGCCACTAGATCCTGCCTCCACTGAGCAATGCCTTAACAAGATCTGCAAAAGCCTTCTCTCCTGCAGGATCAGAAAAAGGCATTGTAATACACACATTAACAGTGCCTGAAAGCACAAGTAGAGAGGAAGGATCCTGTTTCTGGGCATGATAGTGCTCATTCACCTCCCTTTACATGGCAGGCAGCACACTCATTTGGCACAAAAAAGGGAGGCCTAACTGTAACTCATCTGACCACATACAAATTTTCCCAATTTAACACCCAATATTTGAAAATGAAGTAAAATGTGTTAGTTATTCCTTGCTATTCTTAGCCTCACGATAGCGACTTGCCTTCATGTTATAAATAGTAGTTTCTTTCTTGTGTAAAGGAATTTCATTTCAATATTTAAATATATTTCTGCTTGGAGGCTAATTCTTACATTTACCTCTTTTAGTTGCACAATTATCTTAAATTATGCAATAAATTTGTGATTACTGGTATTTAATTGTAGTGGTATTTTTGGCAGCTTGTGCATCCATGTGAAGGCCATTTCTTCCTAGGACTTGAGGATCCAAAAGGGGCACCATCTTTGGTCACATTATGCTATACTTCTTTTTTATTAGTGTACCTACTTGCCACAGGACAAAATTTGGATCCTTGCTTGCCTAACCACTGTATGAAATGCAACTGTTCAATGTACCACTGTCATGTGTTAGATATAATTTCATTGTCCTACACCTAATGTATTTGTAAAACAGGCTTGATTCCGAATTCTCTCGCTTAGCTCCGAGTTTAAGCAAGAAGCAGAAAGTCCTTCCAATTTCCCTTCAAATCCCTCCAATTTCCTTTAAAAATCTCCCAACCTTTGCTAAGGTTGGGATCAATATTTCTTTTACCTACATCTTAACATGACTGAAAGTCTGCAGTGATTTTTTTATGGCTCATTTACCTCTGGCTTGTCTGACATGTCAGTATGCCAGCATATCCCTACAGCTAGTCAGATTGAACATTCACCCAAATTCCAGAACTTATTTACCTTTGAGGACATTATAACTTTATAAACTTTAAAATTTATTAAAAAAAAAAAAAGCAAAAAATTTATATATAAAAAATTTATAAATTGATAAACCCTATTCAATCTATTTCAGCCAAGTTGTAGTCAGGAATGGATAATGTTTGTAGGTACTATTGGTAGATGTTTATCAGCTGGTGGATGCAGAGACCAGAGACAGAAATAACTATTTGTTTAGTAGTTATTTACCACACAAAGACAAAACTCAGTGAAATTGGTAATCAATTTGAAGATTCCCAGAAGAATGCTTAGTTAAGACATAGCAAATGAACATAAACTGAACAGGAAAAATGGAGTGAAAATCAGGTGGGTAGAGTTGGAGAGGAGATGGTAGGAGGATAAAAAACTCCTCCAGAAATGCCTGCAATGCAGGCAAGACAGAGAGAAAACAAAGTAAAAAGATAGCAGGGAGACAAACTTTGTCCTATAAAATTATCTGCCCTTATATTCTCTCTCAATAACTGAATGTACCTGTGTGAAGTGAGCTCAGAGTGAGGGTGAGTAACTGCTGCCTGATGGTCCTGCTCTGCCCTGCAGCTGCAACAGCTCTCCCCAGACCTTTACTCCCTACCTTTCTTCTCTTCTGTTAAGCGTGTGGTATTGCCCATCTTTTCCATTCAAGCAGAACAGGCTCCCTTCTTCGCATCATTCTTCAGAAATTAGTTTCTGAAATCCCCTGCCATCTCCCAGTGACATTTTCCCGTCAAATGCCAACTCTGGGCTCTTTATGTCTGCAAAAGACACACAAAACCGTGAACCAGGGACCCCTGCTTCCCAGTACATGCAACTCATAAAAGAGAAGTAGAAGCCAGAGTTTTTCATTCCCCTAGAGCACTCTTCTCTGAAGACGGGTACTGTGTCATGGAGTGGGCAGTCACTTAGCGATTTCTCATTTGCACACTGCGTAGTCATCACAGTTCAGCTGGAGATTGCTTGGGTGACTGTGAATACAACAGGACACAAGACAGCAGCTTTTGCGCTCATTACAGCAGCACCAGCAGCGAAAAAAGCTCCAACACTCCCACCTAGTGGTACAATAAGAGAATGCAGAGTTGAAGCTACTTGAATGTGGTTACTGTAACAAACACTGCTTCTAGTTGCTCGCTGACGGAGAAAGATCCAATGTAACACGTCCAAACACCTGCAGTACCTTTGACAGAAAACAGGAAATGTAATTTTTTTGAAAGAATTCATACTAATTTTCAAGTGCTTATAATTCCCTGCTCCTCTGTCTCACGCCAAGGGAGATCCCGTTTTTCTACCTTCTTGCCCTAAAGGAAGACAAAGCTGGCTGTGGGTAACTGCCCACAGTGAGCTCCCTCCCTAGCCTTTACAACCTGTTAAAAAAAAAAGATGTTCACAGGCAGATTACCACATAGGGTGGCACAGGATTAGGTTGCTGTTCTCTGCTCCATCCCCACGCAACTCTTCTCTTATTAGACCAAGAGGCTATCCCTTTTAGCATTCATCTCTCTCTGCTTCTGCCCCACTGTGTGTTTCGGCAGCAATTTATTTCTAGTAGAAGAGCTGGTTGTTAACAAGAGGTTGTCAGAAGGAGAAACTCTTTCATCTTCTTCATTAAACATGATACACACCCAGTAACGTTTGGTATGGCTTCAGCTGTGCTACATTTCACAGCAGTTTCAACAACACAGCTCCATTTCTTCCTCTCTCTTTTAGACCACCTCAGCCTTGTGTATATTGAACCAGGCCAATCTTCCTTCTAGTAAGCCTACTGACACTGCCCGACAGAAAGGGGCATCAGAGGTGGAATAAAGACTGCCAGCAGCAACGTCCAGCTGAGAGCTTAGTTGTACTACAGAGCTACCCTTCTTAATAACTGAAGGACAAGCTCTGATATTAGCCAAAAGGTGCTCAGGAGCATTACACAAGCTTTTCAAACTGTACAGCAGAGCCCAGGCTTGCTGATGTGTCCCTGATCTTCATAAGAGAGCTTAAGGGGGAGTATAAAGCTCCACATAGAGCATTTTAGAGTGAAAGGAAGTTAAAGTTCAAAGCCAAGCCCAGAGGTGGCTTTACACACAAGAGTGTATGCACAATGCTTTTAGTTACTGTTATTTTCAGCTTTCTCTATTTTACTCCTTCCATTTATTTTTCTCCAGGTGTTCTTTTCTGTAGCCTTCGTGCATACACATTAACCCCCTGTGAAGGGCAATTTTCTGGCAGCACAGAAATTTGCTTCTGTAGCTAGGTTTAGAATTAAAATACTTTAAAGACCTATTATTGAGTACTCACCCTAGTACCAGTGCAAAATTCAACCCTCTTAAACTCCTCCCTTTCATCAGCAATGCCCTAGTACCTTGTGGGGCACTCAGTATTTCTGAGGCATTGTTGTTGTCCCAATAAGCTCAGACCAGCTGTAAGGTCACCTGTTGCTATGTCACAGGGGCACATGATTTGTCTGAATCATACAGTGCAACTGCCTAAATCTGAAAGACAGAAATTCATTTGTGAATAACATGAAACAACAACAGAGAAACTTACCTTTGAAGGGCAAGGGGAATTCCTTTGTGGAGGCTCTGCTCATACTTAAGCTCAGCCCAAGCTATTGGCATACATCAAGCACCCATCCCAACTTGAATGCTTGGGTTTCAGTGAAAAGTTCTCAGCTGTGCTTGAGGCACAGGTGTTCTGATGGGTTAATGTGTACTGTGGATTTCGGCAGCAGAAGTTTTAAAAATGGAAAATGATCAAATGTTTACTACATAAAAAATAACTAGAAATCCATTAAAATGTTGCAAAATAGTTTCAAAATTCTGCTTTCCTTGTCTTAATTTCCAATTTGATGCTTCTGGGATTAAGCCAGCTCTATAGAGCACAAAAATGTCTGTGCTATTGAGAAAGCTATGTTCTTTTCACTTGTGTTTATAAAAAGAGAAGTCCTTTCAGCCTAGACCCCAAGATAAGGGTTTGGAGGGTGTAATTCCAAATAGAATTTCTGCATCCCAGCTACAAGCATCTTTCTGTGCTCAGTAGATGAGGCATACGTGTACCTAGGTGAGCTCAAAGCCTTCAGTAGGAGCTGCATTAGCCCCCTGGAAGGAGGAGGTAGCTACTCAGCACAGGATACAGATGGGGTTACATGCACAGTCATGACCTGTTCATGAAAAGCCTGTTTACTTGCATCACACACATGTAGTTTCCTGCCTTGAAACCTAAGGAGAAATGTGCTATGCAGAACAAAAGTACTGTAGGGGTTTTGCTCTGCCTCATTTGAACTGCATGAGAA